TTTTATTTTTTGGCCTGAAATTTCAGGGGGGCGGTTTTTTTTTTTTTTTTTTTTGGTCACCACTGCTGTAGAATTTGCACAAGTTAAGGAAAAAATAAAAACAAACAAAAATAAACAATATAGTGCAACAGCAGAAGTAAAATACTCTATTTTGATGCTCTGGAACTGTGTGAATGTTAGACTCTTCCTCATGATCACCATAACCAGCACGTATGTTATAGAGTTGACCGAACCAGACGTTCCTTACTTTAGACCCACATTGGACACAGTTGAGACCCACCAGTATACATGAAAAAGAAACAGTCTGACAACCGCATGAATCTAGCCCTCCCTCCACACCTTAATCTTTCTACTCAGGTGACATTTCATAATGAAACAACAGGGGAGTTCTTGTTCTACCTCATCAATTTTAAAGTCGGCTCTCCAGGAATCCTGGCTACTATCAACCTGGAGACGCCTGTTCGCAAAGCGGCCTGCGGTGCTGTACATGTGGAGAACCCCCTAAACAGAGCGACCAGTTTTACCACAGAGTGTAAATGTACTGACATCAAGGCTCCACCTCAGCAGATCGTTCCGGGACAGTCCAAGGTCGATATCAAAGACAAGTTTCATTTTGATGAAAAAAATCTATCTTTGTTGAATATACCTGACCTGAATAAGTCTGCGCATTTACATCTCTACTCCTCAGGGTTCCCTGAACTTCGAGTATCTGCCTCTTCATGTAGGTGAATCTACCGTACGTCTGACCCTGTGCAGTAGTGACCTGGGCCAATTTCACTACAATCTGCTTCTCAAAGCTCTCTCCCCACCACCAGAGGAAACAGTCCACTTCCAGGCTGCACTAGGGAGCAGTGACTCTTCTTGCATTAATTTTACTAATTACTCCCAAAGTGCAACTAAGTACATCTGTAGGGTAAGAAACTAACAGAACTCAATCGTGTTTTACAGAAATGTTTTAAAAAGATAACAATGCCAATGCATTACAAGATATAAATTACATTTTATTACAGATGAACCAATAGATTTGCCAAAAATCAGAAACTTGCCATTTTTATTTGCGTAGTTCTTATTGGTGATTGGCAGATCAAACACTGAAATAGTTTTTGTTCCATTTGTTAAATGCATTAACATTAAGAACTCCCACTTTGGTCTATAAACACATCAACCAAAGCAAAATGGCATATGGTTCAATATCTTCTGTCAGACAACCTGCAGCACTTTTTTTTCCTTATACTCTGTGTATACCTTGAATAAATTAGACCAGTGACACCAGAATTAGCAAATCGAACCTCAAATAAAGCTTGAAATTCATATTGGCCAGGAAGGGCCATTTTATGGCTACAATGTAGTTTAACACTCTAAGTGTGAACACGTCGAGTGCTCTGGAGTACTCTGGACTAGAAGTAGAGCTACATTAGTACAGACCATTTACCATGTGTTGTTCTGTCTCTCCTACAGAGTGATCGTCCTGATTTTATCGTGGACAAAACTGTCAGTGTTTTGGCCGGTTTTCCTTTAGGCTTAGAGGTGAAGGTGGATGTTCGTTTTGAGCCACATCAGCTGGGCGAGGTGAGAGGGCAGCTCACCTTGAACTCAGATATTGGCGGTGAATACATATTTCCTTTGCACGGAGTCTGCACCTTCCCAAGACCTCAGGGCCCGTACAACATCAAAGGGGGCGGCAGCGTCTCCATCCCTTTCAAAAACGTGTTCCCGAAGACCACGGCTTTCTCTTTGAAGGTAAAATTCATGCAGAGCCTAACAAGATTAAAGAGTAGAACAATAGATAGTTCCCCCTATCCAGTGTGTGAACAAATCAAAAGTTGGTTTATTTTTTGCATTATTTCTTGTACAAAAACCCAAAGACTCTAAATTTCCCACTGATGGTCAACAAAATCTACCAGCAGCTTTTGTCTGCATCCAATAGCTCTACCACTTGTCCTCTCACATTGGAAAAAGGCATCTTTCTGCTGTTTAATCATTCATTTGTATTGTGTTTAGTTTTCTTTGGGATCAAACAGGCATTGTTAAGCTCATGGCTTTTTTTAGGCCCTGTTCAAACCAGGCACAAACATCCATCTCACCTAACCATCCATCCTTATTGTGTAGTGATTTAATGCCTGCAAGGTTAACAGGGGTGTTGTGTTTGCCCAATAGACGAGAGGGGTACACTTTGAGCAGGTCATCAACCCTCAACATCTCTGTGTATCTAGTAACAGAGATGGATGGATTCTGATAGGACGAAAGCTGGCTACTAGAACTCTGATTCTGTTGGTTATTATTTGGATATTTGTAGGCCATTCAAAGTAAGAGTAAAAATGATTTACTGCTCAGACATGGTTCGCTTCTGTATTTCACGCCTATTATTGATTTACAGAAACATTAGAAAACATGCGGATTGTCTTCTTTGCTGCTCCTTGTTCTACGTCCAGGTTATATGTTAATATTTAGATACAATGACTAAGCCTTTCAGAGATAACACTAACATTCGCAGATTATGGAAATTACCAGTTTTATTGCCACAGCTCTCAGCTCGACTCCCTTATGAGAATTTGCTCTTTGGTTCTGACATCCGTCTGAGCACTTTCTATTGCCTCTTGATTAGGGATGCTCCGATCAGGTATTTTGCTGCCGATACCGATCACCCATGAGGGCCGATCACAGCTGATCACCGATCGGCGGAGAGCAGAACCAGCATCTAACACCGCTAGCTCGTTGACTTAAACTATTTTTCGAGTTATTTCTTTAGCTTTCTGACCATCATGCTCTTCCGAGTGAGTGTTGGTAGTTGTGTGCTGCTTTACTGGCCGCTCCAGATGTCTTGTTTTTCCTGCATTGAGCCTCGATGTAGCCAAACTCCGTCAAGTGCTTATTTTGTAAATGTCATATATTAGATTCGTCTAATTTTGACGTCTTTCAACCCCTGAGGTAATTTTCCACCGCAACACACAAACTTCCCCATTCACTTTTAGAACGTTATAGTTCCACATGACATCGCCTAGGATTTGTTGCCGCGTGCTTGTGCAGTGTGAGGGAAAGAGAAGATGAGCTGCACACGCAGGCTGCGAAGTGAGATACAGGTGATCAGTTTGTGTGATTGGCAACAAGAGATCATTATCGGCGATCACCGATTGTACACTTTTTCACGGAAATCGCCCGATAATGATTGGTGGCCGATCGATTGGCACACCTCTACTCTTGATAGGTTCTTCACACAGCATTACATTTTCTTTAACTTTTGCATATTTGACTTCAGTCAACAACTTACTCTTTTGCATTCACATGTGAAAATTATGTAACCTAATGATATTTTTGTTGCTTCTAGGTTGACAATCCATGCTTTAATGTCAAAGAAATGGAGAACATACCCCCCAAAAAGTCACATAATATCATGGTGTCCTTTGAAGTTCCTTCCGGAGGGCATCCTGGACCATGGTTTGGGAAGTTGACTGTCTGCAGACAGAACCCAGAGGCCCGGAGCAATGCCATTTCATGGGTCTTTTACCTGAAGGGCCAGCGGCCTCAGTCTTCTTAGGGAAGCATAAAGAAAACACCCAAGCAGATAGAAAGTTCTAACCTTCTTCTTTTTTTCAGCTTAGGTTACCTCTAGCTTGTGAGTTGGGATGTTACTCTTTTGAAACTAAAATATAAATGTTGATGACAAAAATGTAGTATCCACAAGCTTTAATTATTTAGTTTGAAAATATATTCTTAAAATACTGAATAAATGTTGCAGAGAAGCTCTTCCTGTTATTGCACTCTCATTTCCACATAGGGGCAATCATGTCAAGAGACTGGATTTGAATTCTGGCACTCCCTAGATTGGTTCAACAAATGTGCCTCACTTGACTTTTCTGCTTTTTGGTCACTCCATTGGCTCAACAGCAGGACCTAATTCAACCAAATCAGTGCTGAGTTCTGTTAGACACGCAGCACATTGAAGCAAAGACTCACTACTCAATGGAAAGGGCAGAGCTGGGGGAGTCTCTCATTACTAAAGGTTAGATGTGTCACGTCAGACATGCTCTACACACAAACCTCTAATGAGAAGCTGGAGTGATAGTTCAGGAGACACTCCTGTTTCCTGGATGAAGCAAAATCCTCTGATCCTCCCTTTGGGAAGAAGAACTTCCTGCTGCTGATGTTCAGAGGTAAAGAAATATTAATAAGACTGGACATTAAAATAGAGATAAAGCAATTCCTTATTGTACATCAGTTGTTGCTCTTGGACAAGATCCTCAAAGAAAGGGTATTACTTTTGTTCCCATGCAAGATAAAAGGATTTACTTCAGAAATGACTGAGAAAAGTAGAAACCAAATAAACTGAGTCAATCCTCAGAAAACATGGAATCTCGAGGAGAAGTTCCTGCTAAATAAATATAAAAATAACTAAAACACATTTAATATCAACTTGTAAACTTAATGAATCCATTGGGACCATTGTAATCGATGT